AGCCAAGTCACATCTACGCTCCACAGAATTAGCCCTATTAAGGTCTCAGACAGCCTGCGCACACACACGCCACTGCTGTGTTTATATAACCCACAGAGAAACAGTGGGTGAAGGGAGAGACTGCAGGAGGGCAGACGGCGGTGGTGAGCAGGCTGCTGTGCGGGGTGCTGACAGACGTGCTGTCACACCATCAGCCTTTCATCGTGTCTGAGGACAAACAGGAGGCCTGTGTCCTGGTGGTGACACATATAGCCTAGCTTAGCACAGTGATCGCAGTGATCCTTACCTCTCAGTTTTAGCTGCAGCTCCTCGATGAGCTCCTGTTGTTGGGGCAGGAGGGGAGCGGGGGGCCCCGGAGGTCCCTGGGGCCCTGGAGGACCTGGGGGGCCTGGAAGACCGTGCTGCAAAGACACACAAACATTCATAGCCGTGTTACCTTTTCACTGCCCGTGACACGGTTTTTGTTTGTCATCAGGGCCCGAGGTCAGACTCAGACCAGTGCGTGTGCACGTTGTTCCTCCGTGTCCACATCACTACGAGGAGGCCTAATGTGGATCCATCCACCACTGAAAATAGTCCCAAACAAGCGCACTGTTTCTTTGGCTTGTTGAGAAACCGCGGTGAGAACATTATTTTTAACACTGCAACTGTGTGTTGGCGTCGGCCGTAGCAGCTGAGTGCACCGCTGTCACAGAACGGAGCTCACCATTAGACTCGCTGGTGATACACTTGAGTTAATCATGAATGACTGGCTGTAGTAAATATTTGTTTTTAGGAACAGAGCTGCTGTAGGGAGAGTTCACCCTCTCACAGGAGGGACAGCGGCATTCATCGGCACATTAACAAGCTCACGACTTCGTTCCTCCTGATTCTTTTAACTCATTTGCTGTTTTCTGACAGAACCAACATGCCCTCAGTTTCCCAGACCAGCAGTCTGAAGCACAGATTTAAAGTGACTGTCGTATTGGAAGGACGGCATCAGAGCCTCCTGAATCAGGAACTAGGAGACTTTGGGCATTTCTGCTCGAAGCAGGACTTAAAAGACAGGCTTACCAAAGTAGCTGCTGATGTAATTTGACACAGCTGATTTAACTAATGGACTAAAGGGTTAGGGCTGAGTCTGTTTCCAGGATGACTGCTCATCAATTTGGATCTTTTTCAGGTGCACGTGTGTCTGACCTTGGACGTTCTCCTGGACCCTTTGGTTCTGCGGTTGTCCCCCTTGTTGGAGTTTCTTCTGAAGATAAGCCAGGAGCTGAGCGGAGACACCCGGGACAGGTCGGAGGATGCCGGCTCCTGGAGGACAAAGTCATAGCAGGTGCATGTTTAATTCAGATTCCTCAGTGCCTCGTGCACACTACACTTCTGCAATCCTGACACACCCACAGTATTGAAACTGATGCAGAGAACCCTTGTAAACATGGAGGAGGTGCCGGTGTCTCCATTTGTTAATCAGCTGAACTTTATCAAGCTGCAGTTTCTCACACTGTGTTTTTCAGTGTCATTAGTCGCCTGCGTCCAAAACCTTCGATTGTACAGAGAAGAGTGAGTCCACATTCCAGGCCTTAACTCTGACCTTTGTGTCGCTGCTTCCTGTCCGTGTGTGTCGGCGCAATGTGCACGGTTCCGGTGTGAACACCGCTCAGCTCCTAAACTGCCACATGTGCACAGATGTAACTGAAATGTGAGCCACCTGCGCACAAGAATAACCAGGTGGTGTGTGCGATGGTCACATGGCCGAGTTTCCTCCCAAACCGCCGGGTTACGATATGTTCCTTCAACTGGGCTGTGGACGCGGCTTTAGATACGGAAGAGCCATGATGGAGAAAAGCTGATTTATATTTAGGGCTGCAGCTAACAGTTATCTTCTTCATTAATCATTAGTGCAACATTGGTGAGAAACCACTGGCAGCCCGGTGTAATGTCTGCAGTGAAGGCCCCAGAGAGGTGGCCCAAGGCCGGAGCGTCTCTTTGCCTGCTGAGCCAAAAGTACATTGTTTTAACTCACAGAAACTGAGCCTCTCTGGAGTCGAGGGTGCAGACGACTGCACACGAGAGAAACAGCAGCAGCTTTAATGTGACATGGCTGAGGAGGCGTGTTTCAGCTGGAAGCTTTCATCAGAGAACCTGAGGCACTGAGGAAACCGAGACCAGAAAACATTTGGCAGATTAGCCTGAAACAATAGTGACGGTGACTGATCGACTGATCAGGTCACTGTTCAGCTCTGTTTACCAGATTCAGATTTTGAAGCGCGTGCTGCTGCCCGAGCTCAGTCTGAGCGTCGCGCCGTGCCTGCTGCGTTTGCCTGACGTGGAAAAGTGCAGGAACATTTGTGGGTTCTGATGTGAAAAGGCTTGCTTGTTTGTTTGTGTGCAGGTGTGACGTCCTACCAGGATCTCAGTGTTGACGTCGTCCTCCTCCAGCATCTCCTGACTCTCTACGCCGTCGACCTCCTCGATGCTCGCTGCCTCTGCCGCCATCAGAGCCAGGAGCAGAGGGAGCAGCAGCAACCCTCCTGCCCCACCTGGACAGCTCCTGCCTGGGGAAAACCTGGCCCACATGTTGGGTGGGTGCAAACCAGAGGACAAAGGTGTTCAGGTGTGTGTTTCTGTGGAGCTAAGATGTTCCCATGATGCACTGGTGTAGGTGTGCTCCTCTTGGACCAGCTAGACATTCATTACATTTGGAGACTGGACGTTTTGAAGACCAGCTCGTCCTCTTCTCTCTGTCTTGGTCTGTGAACCTTCTGTTGAAGTTTCTTCTTCTGTTCATGGGTGTAATTTTCGCCCTGTGTCGCCTGCAGCCTCGCGGCGTCTCTCTCCGGTGAACGAGCTGCCTGCTGGCCAGACACAGGCGCAGTGTGTGAGCTTCAGACACTGAGTCAGTGTGTGAGGAACACTCCTCTCTGGGTGGGTCGGGCCACCGCCGCCTCTTTTTCCAGCTCTTGTCTTTCAGCACAGGCTGTTTTTCTTCAGATCCTCGTCAGTGTGGAGGGCTCCTCTCCGCCCTGCTGGCTTTTATTGCCCTCCCCGCTCCACGACTCCCCCTCCTCTTCCTCAGCTCCTCCTCCTCCCTGTCTGTCTGCAGCCTGTTCCCAATGTCTCTGCAGCGTCCTCTCACTTTTATCTCTTCCTGTGCCTCCGCACTGGTCTCCTTCTCCTCCATGTTTTCTGTCCTCTGGCTTAGTTTCCACTCTGACTTCAGCCCTGCAGGGTCCTCATGCTGCAGCCCCACCGTGGCTCTGACACGGGGCTCTGTAGTGGACACTACGGTGACATGCCAGCCCTGAGCTTTACTGCAGTGTGAGCTTGTATGAACAGACGCTTTCTCCGGCACCTTTCATACTCAAGTCTGTCACACAGCTGCACTTTTGTCTTTTCTCACATGGTTATTTTGACACCACCGCTCATATCTATAACCTAGGTCTGTGCCCTGAAAGTCGTCTAGTTGAGTCACAAGTCCAGATACACTTCAGTCAACTGAGACTCTTCTAATCAAGCCTTTGTTTTTATTTTATTCTATTTTTCATCAGCCAGTGTGCATCACAATAGAAGGCAGGCCCAGCCAGTAGTTTGTCGTCTTCTCCTCATTTTGGTGCCAAGCAGCAGTTTGCTCAGTACTGCCCCCTGTGGTTGGGGGGGTACCCACTTCAACAGTTTCACTGACGATACATAGATGCATAAGGTCTGATGACGCTATTTAGCTAAATGTTGCCCTGAACGAGGAGAAGCAGACAAAGCCCGCTGGGACCAGACACACAAAGGATGAGATTTGTACTTTGTTGGAAGTGTTGTCAAACATCGTGGTCGACTTTTACAAGAGAAAAGTCTTTAACGGTTGTGAGCGTGTGGCTGGTTTTGCCTATGTGCATCGGGTTTGTTTACCCATCTCTGTTAAAGTGTAACGCAGAGCTGTTTACCGACTGTTTCTGTGACATGCATCCATCTGAAGCTAACAAAAATGTGCTTTGAAAACATTTCAATGAGAAATTATAAATAAGAGGAATCATAAATATATATATTATTATATTCTTTAGTAGTGCAAGTTGGCACGCATCAAACGTAACAACATGCGCTGTGGTTAACTGACGGGAGAAGCTTCAGCTTGGTGGTAAACTGGGCTATAACCATGTCTCAGAAGATAAACCTTCCTATAAGAGCATTGTTTCCCGTCTGTTGTGGCCGTCTCGTTATCCTGACAAATCCGTACGGCAGCCCTACGTTACATATCAACAACATGCAGTGGTCATTTATTGATTTTTAAATGCTCAAACATGTTGCTGATGTTATTGTGGTTGAAATGTCACTGAAATTCATGCCAGGTGATTTTCTGGCAGACTAGACTCCATATATATAAAAAGAACAAACAGTCTACAGTTGCACTGAACAACAGAGTCTGAGTTGACTGACAAACTTCTGAGTCGGTACAGCCCTGCTGTGTTCATTAGGAAAACGTGGCTGTCCTTGGTAATAACCAACAGTGACGTGAAGTACAGGGGTTTGTTCAAAAGTCCTCGATGTAGCTTGATGGAACCTTGATGTCCCCACCCGGACAGACAGATAAGGTGGGTGGGGTCTTCAGTCTGACATGATGATGAAAGGTGGTCTGAATGTTGGCGTCTGTGCTGAAACAGCAGCGACCGTTTGCTCTGAATCTGACTGAAGCTGATAGAGACACACGCCCGTCGCTCTTATCACTTCCCTCATCTGTCTTCAGCTTTAATTCTCCACAAAGCCTCTTCCTCCCCGTCTGACGCGTCTTATGAAAATGATCCTGGGCTCGTGCCAGCTCTGCTCTGAGGACAGATTTGGGGTCTGTGGGCAGACTGCAGTTTGTGCAGTTGACTTCACTCTGCCTGGTTGTGTCTGTCCTGCAGGGTCTTGATTAACTGTTTATATTCAGAGGAAACGTGCAGGGCTGCAGCTAAACCTTAGGCTGAGCTGCGTAATGGCTGCCTCAGGTATCCTGAGTTTTGTGGGAGCGTTGGTTGTGCCGTCATCAGGAGTTGATGTGAGATGCAGTTCGGCATGTGAGCAGTGGGGGCGGAGCCAAGTCAGCAGCAGGTTGCATCAACACGACAACAGTGGGAGCTTTGAAGAGAAACCTGCTGGTTGTCGCCGCTGCTGACTCCTCTGTTGTGATCACAACATCAACAGTACTGTGACGTTGTCATGGATACTGTTGGATTAAATCTGAAATTCACATGGAAACTATTGTGTTCATCCTAATTTGCCCCCTAGTGGTAAACCTCTAATGCTGCAGATACACACAAAACAAATGTCTGTTAATCTGCCAGTTAGTTTTTATATTAATCATTTGAGTGATGGAAAATCGCAGATGTTTTCTTTAACCAACAGACAAAACCCTAAAACACTCACTTTTCTACAGCGAGGAGGAAAAGCAGCAGATTGTCACATCTGAGACGTTTGAATGAGACACTGTTTGGAGCTGTTATGTTAATATTATTGTAATTTATACTTTAGGTTTTATTAGTTTTCAGCCTTGGAACCATGAGCATGCATGCAGTAACCCTTAGTCAATAGGTGTGTCCACACTGGATAAGGATAATAGGATAAGGATTATTTTCTCTTGCTACAGATGTTTTTTATTATGTCATTAGTTTGACTCTGACCTGTGCAATGAAAAACACCGGTGCTGCCCCTGCAGTGGATGTCAGTGCAACAACATTTAAAAAGCATCTTATTAAAACCAAACTTCAAATGATGTGATCGTTAAAATAGGCAGAGAACTCTGCAAGACTCCTTTAGAAGGCGTTAGTCCACATTGTTTGTTCTGCTGCCCCCCACAGGCCAAAGTAGACATTTAATTTAGTGCAGCGACTGTGCACACGCAGTGTGCCGGAGCAGTACGGCACAGTGTAAGCAGTACGGCACGGCGTGCCGGAGTGAAGCTCAACAAAGGAAATTAACTTGAAGAAAGTTAGTGGAAGCTGTAACAAAGCTCCACCTGTGAGGGCGAGCAGGCTGCTGAGCTTGCAGTGTGACAGGTGAAGCAGCTCTGAGTCCCACTAAGAGGATTTGTCTGCACACACACACACACACACACACACACTGTGTAAGCTGAGCTTTGTGTGCTGAGAATCACTTCAGTTGTTGTGTGTCTGGTCCATGTGTAGTACAGAGGGATGATGGGAGCTGATGGGGACGAACCCTGAAAACTTGATTTGATTTTGATTTGATTTATTCTTTCAAGCATGTAAAGACAGTTGATATGTCAACACACATAATTTTACACATATCCAACTAATGCTAATCCATTATCAATTTGCTTATACCTAGTACATGCTTGAATGGAGTAGGAAGAAGTCAGACTTATCCAGTCCTACCCCATGACATCATCTTACCATCATTGGTTTGCAAGCAGGTCAAACCTTGACCGATGTCCGAACCTGGACTCACTGGACACGGTAAATACACACACACACACACTGTGTGTGTGTGTGTGTGTGTGTGTGTGTGTGTGTGTGTGTGTGTGTGTGTGTGTGTGTGTGTGTGTGTGTGTTAGTGAGTCAGCAGTGACTTTGTGTTAGACTAGCACTGTTCTGTACTGGACTACATTGTATTCAGAGGCATCTCTGTACCTTTGTCCTCCCTGGTCAGAATATTAGGAACACCTCTGAGTGTAACATGGTCCAGTACAACACCACCTTTAGCTCCTCAGTAATAAAGTACAGTTGTGGCTAATGCTGCTCCACAGCCTTCCGCTTGAGACCCGCTCTGCTTCAGACCTCACTGCCCTTTTCTGGCTTTTGAAAGCGTGTTTATTCAGGCAGGTGTTTGTCACTGGCTCCAACAGGACAGTTGTTTGTTTGTCTACCTGATTTATGTATTTTTGTTTCTGAGTTTACTGAATGTTGTATCTGTTGTTGGAGTTGTTTTTCATTGAAGGTCTATGCTGTATGTACACGGTGTTTGTTATCGTGCAGTTTTCTTTTTCCTTATTGTGAAGCACTTGGTTACAAAGTGCTATATAAATGTTCTTACTAATAAAGTGGCTGGTGAGTGTATGTACCGTATGTGAATCTCTGTGTGTGTAGGTGTGATGGATGCTGGGGACCCGTCTCCTCTGCGGCGGTTCGTTATGACGAAGCGATCAATCGGCTCCATCTTTGATCAGCTGCTGGAGTTTGTGAAGAACGGCTCTGCCTTCGTCAGTGGTCAGAAACACATGCTGGTCATTCCCTAGCTGTTAGTGTTTGCTGTAAAAACTAAAATGCATTATCTAGGCTGGCACGGTGTGAGCTGCTGTTCACGTGATGTTTGCTGTGTGACGTCAGAGGTGTGGCGCAGCACCAATCTGGGCCAGGTGGCGGTGGAAGAGCAGAGTCTGGAGATGCAGAGCTGTGCCACCAAACTGTGGACCATCAGAGAGGTCCTGCTCCGCAGACACATGAAGGCGGCTTTCTTTGGCCGGTAAGAAGTGAACACATTTCCCCAGACAGACACTGAGGTCAGGAGTGGCTGTGGCGCTGCAGAGCAGAACCTCACCAAGGTCCAGACACTGGTTAGGTGGAAAGTTAAAGCGTGGAGCTGTTGACTGAACTGGACCTGAGGTCTGCTAACATGAGTTTTTCTGTGGAATCGCTGGACAAACTGTCGGCTCAGATAAACTTATCTCTGATTCACAAACCACTGCTTTATTCTTCAGCTGAATCATGTTCGTTGTCAGTGTTGACGGCCTGCGGTTGCCAAGCTGAGAGCGTTGCTGATGTAACAACTGTCAGATGATGCAATAAGTTGGCTGATGTGACTTTCCCTGAAGTGTTGACAAGCTGACGGCTTGATGGAACCTTGATGTCCCCACCCGGACAGACTAAATATTATACTGAAAGATGAATGTGTAATATACTAAATATTACACATTCATCTTTTTTTCCTTTTTTGCTGTTAATTTTAATTGTTTAAGTTTCTGCACAGGAAATTATCCATATTATTGTAAAAGCTCTTTGCAGTTGGTCGCTGTCAGTGTTCCTATATTAAAGAGCTCCTTTCACTTAGACACTTAGATTCAGCTTAACAAGAAAAGAAGATTTAAATGTGAATTCCTCCACGCACACTTGCTACAGACAGTGTTCAGACTTGTTGAGTGTTGAGAAACAGGTTTGAGTCAGTTGTAACAGAAAGATGTCCAGGTACCGGTCACACTGAAAACTAACAAGTGAAATCGTAACAGATACTGAGGTGACAAGTTGCTCAGAGCTTTCAGTTGTATCACATGATCTTCTTCAGCATCAAAGCCTTCTCAGACATGCTGGTTATGATATAACGGAGTAACAGAACAGACGTGTAATAACAGGTGAGCAGCTTCCTGCAGATGAACTGCGACAATGTGTGTGTTGCTCAGGACCAGTAACGGGAAGAGCACAGTGATCAACGCCATACTGAGAGACTGAGTGCTACCCAATGGCAACGGACACACCACCAACTGCTTCCTGAGGGTCGAAGGCACCGACGAAGACGAGGCATACTTCACCACCGAAGCATCCAGTGAGAGGAGGAGCATCGCCGTAGGTCAAACTCAGCGGCCCAGTTATTAGGAAATGGAGTCAGATGGAATGGATGTGATAAGACAGAGGCTTTGAGGAAATGTTGGTCTCATGTGCTGAGGAATCAGCTGACTGATAACTCCTCCTCCTCCTCAGACGGTGAGCCAGCTGGCCCATGCTCTCCACATGGATCCCACTCTGGACTCGGGCAGTTTGGTTAAAGTATTCTGGCCTAAAAATCGCTGCGCTGTGCTCAGAGATGACCTGGTGCTGATGGACAGGTAACGTCACCCTTATCATCAGTCATAGTCGCCTGTAGTTTGAGCTTAACAGGCAGATGGAAGGAAAACCCCATTAGACTTGTTTCTGTTGTCAGAAAGTAACAGCCCAGTGAAACTGAGTAATTATTAATAGCTATAACCTCTGACCTCTGA